TATTTATTTGCAACTGCGTACAATTGAAATGGTTCATAAGCTGCGTACTTTTCGGTTACTTCACAACCTATGAATAATTTCAACAAGGGTGTACCATTTATCTGCAATTAGGTACATTTTAAATTGTTCATAAGCTCCGCACTTTTTTTTACTTCACAACTTACGAAAAAATTTTGCTGAGCCCAGCGACTGAGCAAAGAAGTTCACAATTACGTACAAAATTGTCCACAATTATGTATAACTGCGATATACGCAGCTTATGAAGAAAAAAAAAGTTCATAAGCATTTAGTGTGTACAGTTGTCCCAAATAACTGGTACTTTTTAGCAGATGATACTTTAAAAACCCTTAGTAACTTTAAGGTGTCAGCTAGCTTACAGTTAAACTGTAGAAAACTAGTTTAACTGTAGTTTGAATAGTCCTTTCCTCTAAGTTTAAACTGGGTATCCTTCCTTGCCATTGCCTAACTCCGGTCGACAAATTACTTTCTCGGAAAGTACTATAAAAATATAATTAACGCACCAACTTATGAATGAACGGAAGAGTCCCTTCAATTAAAGAAAAATGAGTTCCGTGTCATTTTTTGAAGTTGTTTTCCGCATACGCTGGTGAGACGCAGCAAATGTCCTCCTCTATACTTGCCCCCGTCCTCCGCATTCACAAACATTATTCTCCCCTCTCCGTCCATACGTCGTGTCCGCCCCGTCCACTCGAACCAGCATTCGGAGGCGCCATGAGAGACGCGGCGTCTCAAATCCTCTTGCCGCATCCCCCAAATCCCCTTCCTTCCCCCACCCCCTCGGCGTGCAGGCGGGCGCGGTGGTGGTGCGGTCCCCCTCCGTGGCCGTTGGCCGTGCCTACGCTTGATCTCGTTGTGGGTGCCCTCCGACCGAGCCCTCGACCGAGCCCTCGCCGCCCACAAGAAAGGGCACACGGGTTGCGCTCGGCCCAGGTGCGGTGCGCGAAGGGTTTCAGTTAGCAACGTCTGTCAGGAGGATAATCTCGACGTGTAGTGATAGTTAGAGGATGGGGGTGGTTAAAATCCAGCCGCCTATCCCCCGTTTTCCCATTCTTAAGAGAAGTTATTAGGTCTTTTGAATTATTAGCTGCTCTGAAAACCCAAGAGCATCGCCCAAAAAAGCGTGTTCTTGAGTGAAGTAAATGTGCCCGGCTGAACCGAGAACATTGTCTTGTCCCAATAATGCATTGGTGCAAATGAAAATTGCATTGCCCTGATGCAAAAATGTTCTTGAGAAATCAGTGGTCAAGAACGTGCTTTCCTGGGTGATGCATTGCCTGCAGTTCGTTTTCGTGAAGTAATGACTAAGTGAGATTCTCGGTTTTATTTTCAATAAGCACATCAAATTTCCTGTGAAATTTCCATCCAAACGAGCCTGCATGTGATGGGGTTTTGAGATAGAATACCAACACTTCAAAAAAATTTAAAGAAACCGCTAAACTGCAATTACCCGAATTAACCATGCGTCAGAACTTCATCTCATACAAGCAGTGCATGCTGTTGGGTCTTCAGAGTGTGTCTCCGATCTGGTGTCTGTTAAGCGCCATTGGGCCTTACGAAAGCGACCAGGGCGCCGGGTGGGTAGGCAACTCCGCAACACTGCGGTGCATGCGATACCAGGTGAAACTGAGAATGCGCAGCAGTGTTGCGGGATTGCATACCCGCCAGGGCTGCAGGGGCCATGGCGCCTTACGGGCTAACTGGGTAGGCAAACCCGCAACACTGCTATGCGCATTCTCAGTTACACCCGGCACACGCGGTTTTGCCATGGTAATTGGGAACATACCAGGTGGCTGATAAACCCCGCGCACTTCTGTAGTTAGACTGTACCGCAGAGCAATCCGTCTGTTCCGTCTGGGCGAAATGTTCGAGAATTCGGACACGACCCGCAGCATCAGAGATGAGAAACGGTCCCTACCCGGTCCAGGGTTTCGGCGCTGTCTGTTCGCCCGAGCAGGCGGGCAGACGCTTCCAGTCGGTCGTCGCGTCGTACTTCGTTCCGGGACCGGACTCGGACCGGGTCTATGGCTGGGCCGTTTCGGCCGGCCAACCAAACCCGGACAAGAGCGGTCCCGGTCCCGGTCCAGGTCCGGGCCCGGGCCCGGGTGGAAGGACCGGGACCGGGATCGGCCCGCATTAGTTCGGGCCCGGAAAGTGGGACCGGGTCGGGACCGTTTCTCATCTCTGCCCAGCATACAGCACTAATTCCAAATCTCCCGCCCTCCCACTTGCGGACATCACCCAGCGCTCGCTGTGGCCTGTACGAGAACTAAAATGTACCTTCCCTGTGGCTCTTCGGTGGAAACCAAACCAGCACACAGGAGCCTTGAGAAGGGCTTCTACTTTTCTGGCTATGAGAAATTCCACGTTCAGTGCACTGTTTCCTCACACACACACACACACACGATTTGATTTGCACTGTGACTCACGCAAGACATTTGTATGGACTGTAACCACTGCGCGAAAGCAACTTAACGACAGCCATGGACGAAGTTTTAGATGAAGTTGTTCCTACAGAAGATTTGAAGGTAGGAGAGTCGTTAGAAAACCTTCAGGGACATGTCAATCATTTCACAACTTGTTTTTTGCACTTAACCCTTCGATCTTACCCCTGTAGGTTAGGTAGTTTGCACCCTACTGATTTGGTTGGAAATGTCATTGAATCTCTGAGATCCCTTTCTCCCAACTTTAAGTGGCATTCCGATTAGTTTCTGTTTTAAAATAATTTCATCGTTTTGATGTTTAAAATGCACTTTCCCTTTTTCGGTTGAGTTTATTTTGAGTGTGATGATGTCATTCTAGGTGAACCCAAAGTGCTCTTTGTACTGTATTATAGTCCAAAACTTGCTTTAAATTGAACTGTTACAAAAAAAATTGTTTGCATTGGATCATACCTTTTCTAGTTTACTTGAATAAATATTGCTTTGTATTAACCTTGTAGCTCATCTCTCCCAAAGACTTTTCTAATTGCTACTCGTTTATTCTTTGTCATTCCAGAAATATGAAAAGGTTTATCATGAGCAGCTGAGCAGTGGAAACATAACACAAAAAGCTCAGTTTGAGTATGCATGGTGCCTAGTACGTAGCAAATACTCTGGCGACATCCGTAAAGGCCTTATTCTTCTTGAAGAGCTCTTCCACACTGATAAGGAAGAAAGCAAAAGGGATTATTTGTATTATCTTGCTATTGGTAATGCAAGAATAAAGGTTGGTATACACTTCAGACTGTCTTACTTTTGCCTCCTCCTGTTTGAAACTATAACATTGTTTCATTTGTCAGGAATACAACAAGGCACTTCAATATGTTCGAGGTTTTCTCCAGATTGAACCTGGTAATCATCAAGTTCATGACCTTGAGGTTGTCATCAAACGAAGAATGGAAAAAGGTATAGTTGTTGTGACAACTAACATTGAACAGTGATTGATTTTTTTGCCATTTTCTTAGCTCTTCATTCCATGTGATAAGCAACTTCCTGTTTATGTTTTTGTTACAGAGGGGCTTGTTGGAGTAGCACTAACCGGTGGCATTGTACTTGGTATCGCTGGGGTTGTGGGTCTTGCATTGGCCCTTGCCAAGAAGAAATAAATGTTTATTTTACTTTATCATTTTGTTGCAAAATTCGTTATGTATCAACAGTTTTAGTCAAGGACACTAAAATATCCTCATTGTCTCAGGAGCAGCAGCCTGTACCAAAGTTTTCAAACAACTCATGCAGACTTTTTTTTGTCCAAAAAAAAATAAAATTTTGTCGTAATGTTTAACTTTGTGAAAGGTATAGCCTTGACTTTTGTGATCTGATAATTATGGGCTAGCGAAATGTTAGGTTCCATTTCCTGAACACATATTTGCTTCATTTTCTGTGCACCAGATGTGTGGTCTTGACAAAAGATTACATATGATCTGTAAATTAAAAAGAATTGCCTGTTTTATGATAGATTTTTGTCTGCTTGTTTTACATCTGTGTTTTCCTTAATTTATCCAAAAGTAAATCACAAGTTTAATTCAAAAGTAAAGAAGTCATGGAGTATCATTTTACTTTGCTGAATGTCCTTAAAATAACCTGTTCCAGTTGTCAGCCTAATCATTGAGCTTGAAAGCCGCCTTCAGTATAAATACTTCTGTTTATTGCAATTTTGGTAATCTAGGTAGTGTTTTGTATTAACAAATTTCAGTATCAGCCCTACATTGGTGTGAAACAAATTTATTTTATGTTTGACTGAGCCATCTCCTTTCCATTGTTTAGCATTTTACAAGGACTCTAGAGTGATTCTTTCAGGATGTTCTAATCTTGCTTTACTACAATTTTTGAAGTACCTATTCTTATGCACCATAGTGTGATTGTATGTGAAATGAATGAATGAAATATTCTTTGTTAACTGTCATCATTGGGTTTTTGGTTATCTATGGGATTGGAATTTTCAATAACGGCATGGCCTACTACATTTGTGTCAAAGAATTTTATAAAAACCAACAACAAAAATATTCATTCCCTATACATTCTATTAACCTTTGTGATTGCTTTGTAATTGTACTCTGGAGATCCTTGGGTACTTTGCATAGCACTGTAATTGTACATATTGCTAAGGTATTTCCTTTGGCATGTATAGTATTTGAACTTGTTTGATGTAGAGCGTCAATATAATTGTGAATCCATTGGGTATTTTCCTTTGTTAGTTTTTATTGCCCTAGTTTTAGAAACCTTTTGAATGGTAGCAGTCTTTACCGTGTGATATATACGACCATGATTGTTCGTTAAGAACTGAGTTACTCCTTATCCTAGTAACAGTGTCTTGCAAAAGGCCAAACCAAGATTAAGGCTTGTAATTTTTTAAGGAGTGCTCTCACACCATTGCAATCTTGTCTGATTTTTAGCATTTACTTTGAATTCTTTATTGTTTTCCAGAAAAAGCATGTTACTGACGGTATTTTCTTTTTCCTTCAAATGTTTCAGAGGATTTTTCAATGGTCCAATGACCCCAAAATGCTTCTGCCAGTCCCCAAGGAAAATAATTTTCTCAAATTTTCTCACCATGACGTCTGTGTGAACCTTTTTTTTTTTTTAATTTTTGCACTTGAAAGGTTACTGGTGATGTCAATAAATGTCATATTGACCCCATTGAGAAATCTTTGACAATTTTACGAGTAACTTGTTAGCCTTGTCCCTTTGTTCCCGATCGCTTCATCTATGAGCTACACTATGATTGTAATGGCACCAATTCCAAGCCTAAATATATCTTGGGAATTCATTGAGCTGATTTACAGGTGTGAGAAGTGGTTCAAATGTTGTTGATAATTTATTTATAGACTGAAAAGCTTTTTAACATTCTGCAAACAAATTTACAGTTGTTAAAAAAATTGTCACAAACTGGTTGATTATTTGCTTAACTCACTGTAAAAATCACGCCAAAGACTTGTAAAGCTGGTGTTATCTATTACCTGTCTTCAATAAACACAATTATTTTCTAAATCACTCCTTTTGTTTAATTGACTCGTTTTGCTGGATGACTCCTAGGGGAAACAGCCTTTTTACACTAGAGAATTCATTTTTGAACTTCCATGGACTTTGATAAAAGAATTTCCATGAACTTCGTCCGAACTTCGATTGAAGTTCGCACAGAAATTTCGATCAACTGCGTGCAAAGCTTAGAAACCTACTTCGGATGTTATCAAATTTTGAAGCCTCCCGAGGTTTGCTCTTCTAAAGAGTCGGTCGCCCATCCTAATGCAACGAATCCCTTCCATGAGCGGTGGTCTCTACCTCGTTGAGAAGGACCCCGCGTACACTCGGTACCTCAGCTCGTACCGGAGAGGAAGGGGGAGGGAAGGACCGACGGGCTCGGCGCCCCGCGCGAGGCTAGGGAGCGCCGCCGCTGGCCGCTGGCGCCACCGGCAGCAGCCTTTGGGCGTAGCCCCGCAGCCCGCGCAGCCCGGCCCGGCATGAGCCCGGCAGGCTCGGAGCGCTCGGAGTGGCGGTCTCTGGTCTGGTCTGGGGCCATCAGTCGTGCACGGGTCGGCAGCGCGCGCCGCAGCCGCACCGCCACGGGGTCGCGGAGTGCGAGGGAGTGGAGAGGAGAGGAGGGCGGGAGTCCCCGGGCTGCGCCGGGGTGTGCTGGGCACTAGCAGCAGCAGCAGCAGCAGCAGCAGCAGCAGCAGCTCGGCCGGCGCGGCGCGCTCGCCGACACAGTAGTAGCGAACGCGATAAAACACCAGCGCGTTGCTAATCGGCGGGCTCCCCGAGCGACGTGGTCCCCGGGCCCCGGCCGCGGCCAGCCAATCGCGACAACAACGGGCGCCGCCCGCCAGCACGAGGAGGCCGTCGAGCCCGAGGTGCAGGCCGCCGCCGCCGCGGTGCGCACTCCTGGACGGGGCCGCAGTCGCAGACCGAGACTCGCTCTTCGCCGCCGAGGAAGAGGCCGCCAAGGGCCCGGCTGGAGAGCGTTGACGGGGACGGCCGCGGCATGGTGGCAGCGTGCCCCCGGCAGCCGGGCGGGGCGCGAGGTCCGCAAGAGGCGCGCGGGACGACCCCCGGGCGTGCCTGTCGGCGTGCCTTTACGCGTGCCTCCCGTGGAGGGCCCCAAGGTCGTGACAGTGGTCGCAGGTTTAGCTGAGCCCGAGCAGCAGACCCCCCCGAATGCAGATCGGGCTTCGCGTGTTAGCGTGTTATGTGCGCGAGCGTGCGCCGAGGAAGCGTGCGCGAGCGCACCCACTGCTGTGCGTGTGTTTGTCAGTGTGTGTGTGATCGTCAGTAAGAGTGAAAGGTAGGAGAGGGGGAGGGACGCGCCAGGCGCGCGACAGAGAGCGGGTGCGTGGGCACGGACAGGCCAGGGCGCGGCGCGGGCATGTGCTCGGGCGCAGAGGCCGGGGCCGCGGCCCGGAGGCCCGCCATGTTTTGGACGTGATCGGCGACCAGCAGAGAGTTCGGAGCGGAGGCCGCCGGTCCCGCGCGATTATGACGGGCGACGTGAACGCGTCCGAGCCCCTGTCTTACCTCGGCCTTGGCCTCGACTTCGGCCTCGGCTACGACAACACCACGGACCTGGGCGTGGCCGCCGCCGCCAATGACTCCCTGGCGACGGCCTCCAGCACCGTCGGCGTCCTCCCCGCGTCTTCCGCCTCGTCACCGGTGGCCTTCGTGGCCAGCCTCCGGAACCTGAATGTGCCGTACGCGGCGTGCGAGGCGCTCGTCGCCGTCATGGCCGTGGTCGGCAACGCCCTCGTCATCCTGGCCTTCCAGCGCGAGCGCCGCCTGCGCCGCCGCACCAACTACTACATCGTGTCGCTGGCCGTGGCCGACCTCCTCGTCGGGCTGCTCGGCATCCCCTTCGCGCTGCTCGCGTCCGTCGGCCTGCCCCACAACCTGCACGCCTGCCTCTTCACCGTGTCGCTGCTCGTCGTGCTCTGCACCATCTCCATCTTCTGCCTCGTCGCCGTGTCCGTGGACCGCTACTGGGCCATCCTGCACCCGCTGGGCTACTCCAGGAACGTCAGCACCAAGAAGGCCGTCGGTAAGTCGGGTCGGGTCGGGTTGACTTAGTGATAAGATGCTTGCAATCGGCTCGACCTCAAGTTATTCGCCCAACCGCGACCACGCGCACGCATCAGGCTTTGCACACAGCGCGGACAACATCTTTGAGCCGCTATACCAGTAACAGGAGCAGATGCTTGGCGGGGGCTATCAACAGGTGTACAGTGCAGGAGGAGCAGCGGGAGTCAGCGGCCACCGAACCGATAAGGGAAGGGGGCTCCCTCGCGAGAGCGAGGCTCCTCTCCCCTTTCCGGGGTGAATCTGTCACGTGACCAGAGTACCCCTTCATCTCGCACCACAGTCAGCACCACCACCGCCACCTACAATTACGTCAGGCCAGTGATACATAGTGCTCAACAGTATGCACGACGACACGCCTGTCAGGGCTATATGCCACAAGCAGCACGCGGGTTCACCTACCCGCTGTAAGCGTAAGGCGCCATGGCCCCTGGAGTAGACAAACCCGCCACACTGCTGTGTCGAGTCTTGTAGCCAAGTCACGCGGCATACTTTCTCATTGATTCTGTATCTCGTCACCATGTCTCGTTCAGTTTAGAGAGACTGCTCTGCTCAGGGTGCAAAAGGGTCAGTTTGCTGACAGCGGCGGGGCAGGGCGGAGCGGGGATGCTGGGAGGGGAGGGGCGGGGCGGGGAGAGACGCAGCCACCAGCAGCCTACTCCTTGTCCTATGGCTTCTGCAAACTGTCGCAAGTCGGGTCGAGTCGTTCGGCGTAAGCGTTGGAGTAAAGCCAGCGCCGGCCAGCGGGCCAGCCGAACGAGGAGGACCGAGAAGCGTCTCTCCAAACAGCGCCGCCCCGAAAGGGAACCGAAGAAGAGGGGGGTGAATTTGTCCAGCTTTAGTGTCTGCTGTCCTTCGGAGGGCATGGTGTCCCTGGCGGGATAGCGACAAATTAGAGCGTCTCCGACAAACGGGATAAGTTTTGGGGGGCGGACTGTGTGGAGGGGGGGG